CAGTTGACTTCCTTAATCGTGTAACCACAGGGAAAAATAATCAATAAAACACGATAGATGTGCAAACCTGGAAGTTCAACAGACCTGTACTCCTGGAGCTAATAATACATTATATGTTAATTAAAAAAAAAACCCACCATTGACATCATTGTATACTCCATTTTTATAAGTTTTGAAATAGCAACTACAGCAACTACATAGAGTTAAAAGTATTTGAAAGGATTCATGGGGTTCCTCAAGATATACTCATTTTAGGCTTTAAGTAAATTCAAGGTAAAATAAAACAGGAACAAGAAATAGAACAAGTAAACACAGAAAGATCTAAAAAAATTCAGGCACAACTCTTAGGACCTTTTCTCAATTGTGCAGAATGAAATTTATCTTCGTTGTCAGCCACTAAAAATGTGAAAAGACACCTTTGTTTCACCTAAGCCAACACAGAAGGTTAATGAGAGGAATTTTTTTTTGTGTTTTGCTTTTTGTTTTTTGTTTTTAAATCTTAGTGGTTACATAGCAAAAACTGGGGCCTCCATAATATGTGTGGGCCTTACACAATCAGTTGAAGGCTTGCATAGAACAAAGACAGACTTCATGGAGCAAGAGGGATTCTGCCGGTTGCTGAGTATATCTATTCCAATTATTCATTCTGTAACTGGGGAAATAACTACAGGATGATTTTGGAGACCCATTGATCACCTGACCTACAAAGTCCCTACTATGACTGTAAGGAACTTCATCAAAATAAGAAATATGTATACTTATTTTTAAAAGGAGTGAACTTGGTGATGAGCATTGGATATTGTATGGAAATGTTGTATCACTATATTTTACACCTGAAACTAATATTATGCTGCATGTTAACTCTCTAGAATTTAAATAAAAAATATTGACTAAAAAGAATATTGAAGAGTATTGGAGGTAACATGAAATAATATCTTCATGTGACTAAGGTCAACAAAGATTTCTTCAACAGGACACAAAGAGCAATAGCTTTAATGTAAAATGTTAATAAATTTGATTTCATTGTGCATGAAAACTTGTATTCCTCAAAAAACACCATGTAAAGAGTGGAAAGTCAATTCACATAGTGGAAGCAGATATTTGAAAGATATATATCTGTGAAAGGATTTATACACAGACTATAAAAAGAACATTTACAACTTCCTTAGGTGAAGACAACACAATTCTAAAGAAATGGGCACAGGTTTTAAATTAAATAATGGTGTTCCACTAAAAAGAACATCCAAATGGCCAATAGCTATAGTTTTTACATCATTAGTGGTAAGGTAACGCATATTAAACCCATATCACAATAGCATTACATGATGCTGACAAATAATGGCAACAAATAAACATAAACATACATACCCACCCCTACACCAACACACACAAAACCAATAGTGCTGATGAAGATATGAAGCAATTGGCTTCTACGAAACTGGTCAAAATGTAAAATTATACATACAATTTTGGAAAACTGTTGGGGCTTTCTAATAAAGATTTAAAAAAATCCTCCCAATCACTCAGCAATCATACAGAGGAATTATTATGATGGCAAATGTCTCTTAAACAACATATAGAGAAATAATAATAACTTTATTCAAAATAGTAAAAAAAATGAGATGAAACTCCAATGTCCATCCACAATAAATAATTAAATTTGGTACATTTATAAAGGAGAATACTGTGCAACAAAAAAAGTAACAAGCTACAGTTAAATTCAATCACATGGATTAATCTCACAGACATAATTTTGAGTGAAGTAAGCCATTACACAGGATATATATCTCACGTTTAATTAATATTAATGCTAATTAATGTTACAGCCATAAACTATCCAATCTGTAGTACTAGATATAAAAAATGATGAACTCTGGAAGTTATTCATTTGTAGGGTCATGAAGTCTTCTTTTGAGTTGTTGGTGTGCCATGTGTTTTTATCTGAGGAGTAGTTACCTAGGTTCTGGGCTGTCCACAAGGTGTGTAGGTACTCCACAAATACTTTCTATGGGGCCTCTGACGACTTATACAATTTGAACCACTCTAAGTCATCATGCCAACCCTTTCTGGTATACTAGCCTTTAGCAATCCCATGAAATAAATACTGCACCACCCAGCAGAGCAATCTACTTTTCTGGCCATCATGTTAGAATAGAGACCATTCAAAAGGCCTTGAGAAATTATAGGCATTATCCCTGAAGCTCTTTGGACATCTGTACAAGACCATTAATGCAGAATATTGGGTTAGGGAGTGTCCCAAAAGGGAATTTCCTAAACCCAAGAAACAGAAAAGCTCTTAAGAGGGGTACTTTGAGCTTGGGGAAGGGTAACTAGTCCCAGCCAAAAGGGACTTAGAAACTTTCAAGAATGGTATTCTTAATATAGTCTGTGCATTCATAAAAAGCCATCAAGTGGTATGTATGTTATATTTGATAATTTTTTAATACCTTTTAAATTTTTAATTTAATTTAATTTCTTTTAAATTTTAATTTAATTCTTTTAAAATTTTTATTTAATTTATTTAATTTTTAAATTTTAGTTTTAAATTTTTTATTTAATTGACATATACATTTTATTAATTTTAGGTGAACAACATAATGGTTTGAAGTTTGAGTATATTGTGAAATGATCCCACAATAAGTTTAGTTCATTACGTGGTTATACTTTTTTTCTTGAGATGGGAACTTTTCAGATCTATTCTTTTAACACCTTTTAAATATATAATACAGTGTTAATTCACTATAGTCCCTGTGCTGTACATTACATCCCCATGACATTTATTTTATAACTGGAGTTAGTACTTTTTGGCTCCCTTCTCCCATTTTACTCACTCGCCCACCTCTAGCACCCAACAATCTGTTCTCTGTATCTATGAGTTCTTTTTGTTTTGTTGTTTGTTTTTCAGATTCTACATGAAGTGAGATCATACAGTATTTGTCTTTCTATCTTTAACTTATTTCACTCAGCATGATGCTGTCAAGGTCCATCTGTATTGCCACAAATGACAAGATTTTCTTCTTTTTTATGGCTAAATAGTATTCCTGTGCATATGCGGGCGTGTGTGTGTGTATTACATTTTCTTTATCAACTCATTGATGGATGAACATATAGTTGCTACATATCTTGGCTATTGTCAGTAATGTTGCAATGAACATGGGGATGCCGCTATCTTTTCCAGTTATCATTTTCCTTTCCTTCAGGATCCCAGGGTAGTTCCGTTTTTACTTTCTTGAGGAAACTCCATACTGTTCTCATAGAGGCTGCAGTAAGTTACATGATCACCAACAGAGCAAAAGTATTCCCTTTTCTCCATACCTTCACCAACACTTATTATTTCTTGTCTTTTTGATAATAGTCATTCTAACAAGTGTAAAGTGACATCTCACTTTAGGTTTTTTTTTTTATATTTTATTTATTTATTTAAGAGAGAGAAAGAGAGAGCATTAGCAGGAGAGGGGTAGAGGAAGAGAATCCTCAGACTCCCTGTTGAGAATGGAGCCTGATGTGGGGCCTGATCCCATGAACCATCATATCAAGACCTGAGCTGAAATCAAGAGTCAGAGACTCAAGCAAATGAGCCACCCAGACACCCCTACTTCACTGTAGTTTTGATGTTCATTTCCCTGATGATTAGTTATGCTAAGCAAATTTTCATGTACCTGGTGGCCATCTGTATGTCTTCTCTGGAAGATAAATTTTTTTAAGTAAAAAATTATTAAGCACCTAATTTATGAGTGGCAAGACACCACGAAGTAAACATTGGCCAAATACATATCATTGATCAAAAGCTATAAAATGTGGATAGGGGGCGCCTGGGTGGCTCAGTGGATTAAAGCCTCTGCCTTCGGCTCAGGTCATGATCCCAGGGTCCTGGGATCGAGCCCCGCATCGGGCTCTCTGCTCAGCAGGGAGCCTGCTTCCTCCTCTCTCTCTCTCTGCCTGCCTCTCTGCCTACTTGTGATCTCTATCTGTCAAATAAAATAAAATAAAATCTAAAAAAAAATAAAAATAAAAAAATAAAATGTGGATAGGATACTCGGGTTCATCTGAAAAGCCACAAGGAGGAAGTGCAAATTTAAAAAGTACTGGAGAAGCTACTTAGTAAATAATGAACGAATAACTAAAGTTTGTGAATCCAAAAGTAATTACTATCTATGGCATTAGATTCGACTTTCGAGAATGTAACTGACATGTTTAGAAATGCACTCGTTTAGAGGTGCTCATTCATGAGTATCCTAAGTTCCTTACCATACTGATGTGTCTGTGAAATTCCCCTTTACCAATAGATAGAGACAGAAATATATTTTTATTTCTATAGGTTTTACAGTTTTGCAGATAGTACATTAAGGACAGACTGGTTCACTTTGAACAGTAAGATGTTTTTGGGAGATCTGCATAGATGTAATGAGCCTGGGAATATTCCACACAGAGTCAGTCATAGGAAAATTTCTCTAAATTCTTCTTCCTATAAGACCTTGAAATGTTGTGTATATTTTTATTTTTATATTTCTATGACTAATCAGTTTCTAACATATAATAAAATGTCAATAAAATTATGGATAACAACAATTAAGCAATTAAGAAAGGAATGAAAGAATCTGTCACAAGTATTAAATACCTGTATTCCTTGATGTAGATGTATATATATATATATATATATATATATATATATATATATATTTGGTAATGTGTCCGACACAAAACTATTTGCAAATAAAAAGCATTTCATTCCATAGTTCTGTCTATAATACATGCTCTGTAGAAGTTATAATGGAGAGTAATAAAGTCTTATAACTAAGTTGTCCAAAACTTTTAGGTGTTCCATAAAATTCACACTGATTGTTTTGACATTAATCTTGTTATATGTTCAAGATGGGAGAGCTAGGGAAATTATGAATGACATAATACTAAGATCCAAATCTTTTTTCTGTTACAGGATTCTGTAGTTGAGAAAAATAATCTCTTTCCCCTAAAGTGAGTTATCTCTGAGACAGTTTATGTCAGTCTTTTTTCAGAAAGATACTTGAAACCTTTTCTCGAATCTGCTTAGTTCTCACTCCATAGATGATAGGATTGAGGGCAGGTGGAACAACAACATATAGATTGGCCAGGAGAATGTGAATGTATACGGGAACATTCCTGCCAAACCAGTGGGTCAAGAAGGAGAAAAAAGCTGGAGTGAAGAAGGCTAGGATAACACAGATATGGGAGCCACATGTACGAAGCGCTTTGAGTCTGGCATCCTGAGAAGGAAGGCAGAAGACAGCTCGGAGTATTCTCACATAGGAGATAACAATCAGCAAAACATCAACAAACACCATTGATATAAGAATTAATCCAAGTATCATGTTTACCTTTATATTGGCACAGGCCAGCCGAGCAATTCCCATGTGCTCACAGTATGTGTGGGGGATTATATGGTATCCACAGAAGGGAAGTCGCAAGATGAGAAACACTAGAGGGATTACCAAAATGAAATTAATGCCAAACACTACAACAAGGATGAGACCAATCATCCTATTTGTGAGAATCAGGCTGTATCTCAGAGGATTGCAGATGGCAACATGGCGATCAAAGGCCATCGCCACCAACACAACAGTTTCCATGGCAGTGAATATATGAATAAAGAACATCTGGGTGACAGCCTCCAAAGCTAATCTCCTTTAAGTTAAACCAGAATATGCCCAACATTTTAGGGATAGTGGATGAGGACAGGCCTAGATCAATGGAGGCTAACATAGCCAAGAAGTAAAACATAGGCTGATGAAGACTCTGTTCATTCTTGATCACAAACAGGATAGTGATGTTCCCTACAAGGGCGATCAAATACACAGAACACAAAGGAAACCCAATCCAGACGTGCATCTCCTCAAGGCCAGGAATTCCCAGCAGGAGGAAATAGGGGGGTGGAACTTGGTATCATTTGAAGGGGACATCCTCTCTCCGTTCCTTTGAAATTGCAGATAAAACAAATTATCAAATATTTAAAAGGTCAAACCATATCCAATAAAGAATAAGTAAATTTTGGGTGATGATCAACAGGAAATCAAGAAGGAGGTTTTATGCCAGCCCTTAATATATGGATTGATTCAGATATTAAAAAATATTAACAATTCTGCTAAGTGTAGTGAACAAATGTGAGAAAATCTGATTTTATATTATTTATTATTTGGGGGATGAGACAGATAATATTCAAATAAACAAAAAAAGTGTGGGGGGTACAGGTATCACATATGTGCATATTCAAATATGTATACTGGGAAGATATAAGGGATATAAGATATAAGGGATATAAGATATATAAGTGATATAAGAAAAAGCATGGTATTGGATACTAATGAAGTTGGTGTCTATTTAAATTTATTGTGAGGGAAGTTCCCTCTAACAAGGTGATACTAAGCAGATAAATGAATACAACATTGGGATGATTTAGTGAAAAATTAATGAACATTAAATTTTTTTTTTATTTGAGTATAGTTGACACAATGTTACATTAGTTTTAAGTGTTCATCTTCTATACTCATCACAAGTGTAGCTACCACCTGTCCTGTTTCATCACTATTACAATATCATTAATTATATTCTCTGTTCTGTGCTTTTTATTCGTGTGACTTATTCCTACCACAACTGGAAACCTGTACCTCCTAGTCCCCTTCACCCATTTTGCACATCCCCCCATCCCTCTCCCCTCTGGCAACCATCAACATCAAATACATTTGAGACATGGGATGACCCTTGGATTTGAATCTGGAAAGGAGGATCCTTCAGCCTGTGGGTCATGAACTGAAAGTGATAAATGCTCTTCTCTGATAAGTCTGTGAAATAGGATTTTAGGAAAGCTGGTGACTCTCTTTCTAGGATATCAGGTAGTAGGTTTGTAAGGAATAAAGAAATTGAACTCTTCTTATTTAGTTTATTTTCCCCTTTTTCTACAGTCCATGGTTGGTGTGGTAAGTTGGAGTGAGGTGGTTCTGCTTGGGAGGTTCCCCAAGCCCTCAGCTCAGTGAGAACCCAGGTAAGATGGACAGATGAAGGAAGTCTTATTTCTGAGGGCTTTCTCAAGTTTTCTATAGAAATTTTTTATCAAAGTTTACTCTAAAAATTCTGGATAGCAAAAATAAAAACAAAAGAATATACTTTATTTTAAAATACACTGTTCAATCTATACTTAAAAAAATACTGAAATTAAGGAGAAACAAAGTAAGAGACTTTACCTCTACCAAAAATATTTAAACAATACCTACCTAATGTTCTTCTGTTCCTCACAGTTTCAACCCTATTTCAGGCATTTCTTGTTTCAACTATTTCTCAGACCTCCTATCCCTTATCTCCAGTGCCTGACTCCCAGAACCCACCCTTGAGCAGCACCACTTGGCTTAGCCATGACCATGATTCTTTTACGATCAGACTACAGCAACATCTCCCCTTCAGACTTCATTGTACTTGTCATGTCTACAAAGGAAAGTTTATACTTGTGCTGCAGCAGATGTCCAAACCCCAGTGTATCTCCCACAGAACCCTTAATCCCTAGGGTCTGGAGGGTTCCTCTTTCCGAAAAAAGACAGTTAATTCTCCTATGACTCTATTTCTGAACTCTGGGATCTACGGTTGTTGCCTTGCATTATTAGTCTCTACTCTGACCCACAGATTCTATCCCCCAGCTTTACCTTTGGCCTAACAACATTAAACTTTTCAGAGGTGTTGATTTTGATTTACAATAATAGAAGCAAGGTAAAATAATTAGGAAAGTATAACATAGGCTGGAGAAATAACAAATATAAAAATAATACTAACACCATGATGTGTAAAAGTGGTACTGAATAACAGTGAGGAAGAGGGCTCTAAGGCCTTCTGAGCCATCCTACTCTAGTTCAAATTAGAGGGAGTGGCTAAACAGTGCACGTGCCAAATCTTTTAGCATTGTGTAGTTAGTGGAATTTCATAGACATTGGAGCCGTAGCTGGATTTTAGGTCCTCCATTACATATTGCATTTTGGATTCACACATAGAGATTCAGTATCTCCTCCCCTAGGATCCAACATCACTGTGACCTGGAAGCTGCAGCCCTATTCTACCAAGTCAGAATTGAGAGCTCAGATGTTCCTTCTCATGCTGTCCAAGCTATATGTCCTTTTTGTTCAGATCAGCATATATTGGGTTTGCAGGGTCTAGGCTACACCACAATTGAGTAGTTTTACCCAAGCAGGACAGTAGAATAATGTTGTAAAAAGGCTACAAATCCCCCATATATGAGTGGATATAGGTTAGTGAATGCAATATGGAAATCTGAGAAATCCATGAGAACTGTAAGAATTAAATGAGGGGAAGGGATGGGGGAGAACTAAATAATTTACTGCTATATGTGATGTGGTGAACTGCTAACATGATCCACCTCTCAACACTCTTCCAGAATTGAACTTATGACTTATCTTTAGCCAGTTTTCATGGTATTCTGTAGGAGACCAACTGCCTGTCCAAGGGGCCAACCTGTAAGGAATCTGAAAGATTAACCCCTTATTATCAGTCTAATCACTTACTCCAAGGAATGGCTTCCATTTGTCCTACCCAATGCCATCAGAAACTCAGGCCATTTAAATCCATAATACTGAGTGTGTCCTCACTGAAATCATTGAAGATAATACTGGTGGGTGGTGATGAATGTACTCTGAATACCACCAATGGGTAGTTTATAAGAAATGACTTTATTCAGGGTGTTTATGTCATAATGCAAATGGTTCATTTAATTCTTCAGGGAAAGTAGGCACTAGGCACACACAATTTGTCTTTGTATTAGCCTTTCCAGTGGTTTCTTGCTTCAAGACCTGTCGAAGATTTAGATAAGGTTTGGATATCTTAATGGTCGTGAGTTATCTTTGCAGTGCTTAAACTGGTACTTGTTGGAGTCTGTGTTTGAAAATCAGTATCGGGGCACCTGGGTGGCTCAGTGGGTTGAAGCCTCTGCCTTCGGCTCAGGTCATGATCCCAGGGTCCTGGGATGGAGCCCCGCATCAGGCTCTCTGCTCCGCGGGGAGCCTGCTTCCTCCTCTCTCTCTGCCTGCCTCTCTGCCTGCTTGTGATATCTGTCCGTCAAATAAATAAATAAATAAAATCTTAAAAAAATATATTTAGAAAATCAGTATCTCTGATTTGTCATTCAAGTCATCAGATAACTCTAGGGTCCTAGGAGGATCTTTGGCATGATTCCCCCAGGGTCACATCTATGGAATAACTTCTTGACAATTCTAATCTCTTAGGGATGGAGTATAATTTTATAATTTTCATTGCCCTCATCATCCAGATGGCTCACATTCTTCATTAATATTCTCTGTGTGCCATGAGCTAAGTGATCAATGAGTGCATGAGCTCCAAACCCTTTGACAATCATAGAAAGAGTCCTTACAACCCAGTGTTTTTGTCATAAACCAGAGCTGGGAACACGGTAAATCTCATCACATGTGTCTCCTGAATCAGGGAACCTCACCTGTTAGTTCAATGAACTTACTTGGTTCCCCTTGCAATTATCAACTACATGGGGAGGAAGAAGATGGGAAATCACATTACCATACGTGTACCATACACAGTAAACTTCTCTCCTTGTTCCCATTTAATGAAGACAAATAGCAGCCCAGCAATGGTGTGCTCTCTGAGTGACCCTCTCAGTCTCAGGATGAGATTCAGGGAATTCATTTGTTTGTTTCAACTGGCTATGACATGGAGATACAAGGAAATTTCATCAGGAGTCTCTTCAATGCATTTGGATTTTTCAATTGTATTTTCATCTACATAATAAAGCACATCTCCTTCTCCCGCATCAAGATGCTAGGTTAGCCTGTCCGTCAACAAATCTATGACATCGTGGTTAGGCCCCTTCAGAGCCATTACAAAAAATAATGAAACAATTTTAGAATACTGTCTTTGTTAATGAGGCATTCACCACCACAAAATTGCAGATCTTAGAAAACAAGTCACCATAAATATTTGATGACCAATCTCCCCATTCCATTCCTTAACTTTGACTATTACTGCCACTTCAAGCAGACTGTTTCTACCTCTAAAATGGCTCTCTGATCTCCATTCACTTGGTTCATTTCCAGAAGGCACAGAGTTGACTGACCAGATGCACAGCTCACTGAACTAATTGTGCCACACAGCACATTGACCAGGCCTTTAGGGGAAAAAAAAAATATTGTAAGGTTCTTATGGAGAAAGGAGTAGTAGCACAAGTGTGGATTTTTCCTTGTCAATGTATGCTAGAGTAGTATGAAATACTTTGTAGGGTCAGATGTCAGACTCCAGGAAAATAACCCTGACCCTTGGGCTATAGGACATTAAATCACCAGTCCCTTGCTTATGATAGAAGAGACTGGGATCCAAGATAATAAGATGGGCTAGATGATTGGCTTATAACTTTATTCCACCAGCTCAGATTCATTATTTGGGGGAATAATAACTAGAGTGATTAAGGGGATGGGGTCCAAATTATGACGATTCAGTAGCAGGTCACGTGAGAGACTTGACAGTTCACCCCTTTCTGCCACTCAGTATCAGGGGATGAGAATCAACACTTCTCTGGCCTCACCCAAGGACTTGCAGCCAAGCCTTGTTGTTGCTGACAATAACCTGGCTGACAAGTACCCTGATCTGCGTCTTGGGATACTACCAATATCAATAAGCTTGAGCACTTAACAGTGACTGTTGTTCATGGCAATGTGTTAGAGGCCAACTGTATTTCTGGAATGCATGCATGAAGAGAATCATTCAGTTAAACCTTACTTTAAACTGATCTTTAAACTGATGATAGATCTCTAACTTCCTTAATATCCCAATTTTTCGGTGCTATCTATCATGCAGGCAAAATCTTCTAAAACTTCTTTTGATTTCAGTCTTTTTGACTTTCACAGCTGGTGAATGAACTCCCATTTTAGAGATAGGCAGTTGTCCATCCATACATCCATGCATCCATGCATGCATACATCAG